AAACGGCCCATACTTTCGGAAATTGCTCGCATTTTTGACCCTCTGGGTTTCCTTGCCCCTGTTACATTCGCCCTTAAATTATTGATGCATAATCTCTGGGTCCAAGGACTCACCTGGGATGATGTGGCTCCCTCTGATATCGCAAAAACATGGAAAAAATATAAGGCCGATCTTCCCTGTTTGTCAAATTAACGCATCCCTAGACATTGTTTTATTTCCTTATATGTGTCGATTGAGCTCCACGGTTTTGGAGATGCCTCCAGCCTAGGATATTGAGCGTGTATCTATTTACGTTTTGTTTGCTCTAACCAAAAAATTTGTACTTTCCTTGTTTATGCAAAAAGCAAAGTTGCTCCGTTAAAACGTATTTCACTTTCTAGACTCGAACTTTGTGCGTCTTTGTTGGCCGCAAAATTACTTAAATTTGTCTTGGCCACTTATTCAGACGTTAACTTTACGCGAATTTACGCTTGGTCGGACTCTACGGTCTCACTCGCTTGGATTCGTTCGCCGGCATTTCGATGGAAAACTTTCGTAGCCAATCGAGTCAGCCAAATCCAGGATATCGTGCCTCCTGAAAACTGGAACCACGTTGCCTCGGAATTTAACCCCGCCGACTGCGCTACTCGGGGCATATTACCCTCTGAATTGTGTGACGCATGGTTACTGTTGCCGCAGGAAGTGTGGCCTGCATCAAAGTTTGAACCAGATTCAAAACCGCAACTGGAAATTCTCGTCGAAGAAGGAAAATTAGTATGTGCTACCACTACGGGAATTGATGGTGTTTCCAGGCTTTTAGGTGAACCTTCTTCGCTCCCAACCATTTTAAGGATATTTTCGTACTGCCTTCGGGCTATCCAAAAAATGCGTCATGAAGCCCCTATTTCGACTAATACTTTCACAGATGTTGAATTGCATAATTCCCTAATGATGCTAGTGAAATATATTCAAGGGATGGTGTTTAGCGAGGATATTGACAATCTGTCAAAGGGTCGTCGCTGTTCAAATCAGCTTAAAAAACTTTCTCCTTTTCTAGATCAACTCGGTATTCTCAGGGTGGGCGGTCGTTTAGTTCACTCCAAACTTGCATTTGAACAAAAACACCCTGCCTTATTACCAGCTCAACACAGATTGACCGATCTTATAATTCAGGACTTTCATGAAAAATTTCTCCATTGTGGAAAACAAACATTGAACTACTTAATTTTACAACATTTTTGGACATCTATCTGCGAAACGAGCAATCACTCGAGTAACTTCTGATTGCTTAAAATGTTTCCGAGTGAACCCTCCAATCATGCAACCCAAAATGGGTGATTTACCCTCCTTTAGGGTCACTCAGATAAAACCCTTTCAATGTTCCGCTGTCGACTTTGGCGGTCCCTTTTTTTATCACCCTCACTCGAGCTCGAGGTGCCAAATCTCAAAAGGCCTATTTATGTCTGTTCGTATGCTGCGCGACAAAGGCACTTCATCTCGAACTTGCCTCAGATCTGACCACCTCTGCTTTTCTTGCTGCCTTAAGACGATTTCTAAGTCGACGTGGTAGAGTTTCGGTGATTCATAGTGACTGTGGCACCAACTAAATACCTCCATGAAGTGTTTGCCGAAGCTGCCCATGAAGAAAAAATTGATTGGCGTTTTAACCCCCCTGCTGGACCTCACTTTGGAGGATTATGGGAAGCTGGTATCAAAAGTGTGAAATTTCATTTGGTCCGTCTTATCGGAGACCAAATCCTCTCATACGAGGAACTGTACACAGTGCTCACCCAAAGTCGAACCGGTTTTGAATTCCTGTCCGCTTTCTGCGTTAAGTACGGATCCCAATGACCTCTCGAGTTTGACCCCGGGTCATTTTTTAACTCTGGCTCCATGATCTACTATCCCTGATTCCCACTTGTCCGCCATAAGCTTAAATCGTTTGAGTAGATGGCAACTACTTCAACATTTTCACCAACAATTCTGGAAACGTTGGTACCGCGAGTACTTACATACTCTGCAACAGCGCAACAAATGGTTTCATACTAATCCAAGCCCAATTAAGGTTGGAACCTTAGTAGTTCTAAGAGATGAACTCACTTCACCCCTAAAATGGCGACTTGGACGCATAACTGAAACTCATCCTGGTCCTGACGGTATTATCCGGGTTGTAACCCTTAAGACAACCCAAGATTTCTTAAACGGCCGATTAATAAAGTGTCTATGTTGCCATCCCAATAGGTAACTTAGATGATACTGTATATAGATAAATACTTACCTATGTCTCTATTCTTGTAGAGGTATATATACAGGGTGTCCCACAATCAACGTTACAGGCCATAACTTTCTTATTTTCAAAAATAAAAATTTGAAACAAAAAAATTATTAATGGCTAATTAAGCTCTCTTCAAAAATATAAAAAAATCATCCCCTGAAAAAATCATCCCCTATTTACAACCCTTGACTTTTTGTTTTCAAATGGCACCCCTATTATTTTTTTTTATTTTTGAGAAGCTTATGAAATTACAAATTTGTATGGTGTATAAAAAGTTTGTTTTTCCATGTCTTTTGGGGAAAAAAAAATGGGTGTCCCACCCTTAGTCTTATACAGGCAATCACATTTTTGTCTACAAAAATAAAAATATGGCAAAAAAAAATTAATTGTGTGCAAATTGACCCCTTTTCAAGAATATTAAAAAAATCTTTCCTAACAAACTCATCCCCTAAAAACAACTCTTGCCTTTTTTTTCAAAATAGAACCCCATTATTATTATTTTCATTTTTGATTTTTTTTCCAACGAAACATGGAAAAACAAACTTTTCATACATCATTGAATTTGCAATTTCATGAACTTCTCAAAAAAAAAAAAAAAAAATGGGGGTGCTATTTGAAAAAAAAAGTGAAGGGTTGTAAATAGGGGAAGATTTTGTCAGGGGAAGATTTTTTTATATTTTTGAAGAGAGCTTAATTAACCATTAGTCTTTTTTTTTCAAATTTTTATTTCTAAAAATAAGAAAGTTATGGCCTGTAACGCTGATTGTGGGACACCCTGTATATATTTTTTTTTCTCGTTAATTTTATTTTAATTTTTAATTTAACAATAGTTATTTTTGTATCAAGTGCGCGAAATGCTACTTTGGTGATCGAGAACTGATTTTTTTAACGAGGCGCAGCCGAGTTAAAAAAATAGTCGAGATCACCAAAGTATTTCGCGCACGAGTTGCAAACAATATTTTTTCTACAACTCCATTTAAATATCGATCATTCGAAGCTCAAATTGCATTTAAAATCAAAGACAGGTGAATTTTAATTATTTTTGGTGTCCTGACAGATATGTGTCACCATGACATACCAGTGTGCGAACTAGCTATTTCGCACACATGTGTGCAAAATAGCTAGTTCGCGCACGGCGTCATGGAAACGTTGAAAAATTCATACCTGGGAAAAAAAGTGTCACTTCGCAAATTGTCATCAGTGTGCGAACATCATCATTTTTTGACAGTTGTAGAAAAAAGATTTTTTTTTGTTTTGTTCTTGGGACCAAATTGGCTTGAAAAAAAAAAAAAAAACACTTGCATGTTTTTGGTGAGCGGTAATGTTTTGTCTTTATTCTAAGTGAATTTTATGCAGTTTGGCAAAGGTACAAAATTCCTGTTTGCTCGCATTTTTTGTTTTTCGCACAAAAAAGTCGTACTTACCTCTAGATTTTGATAGTGGACGTACCAGAAGCGAGTAATTTGAAACAGACTTGCCAAGAAACCTGATAAGGCAGCACGGGCGCATCGGAGAATGTCTTAACCCGGTGGCAATATTTCCCAATCTAAGAACTTCATTGTGAAGTCCTCTCGTATCAACCTTCTACAAAGTTCTATAACCCGTAATTGGGGAACAGCATAATCCGCAGCGCGTGTGTAAAGCAGGGCCGCAGGGCCCTGCAGGAGTGCACTTATGGAATCATTGGGTAAGTCCTTTTTTTCATTATTTAGAGGTTGCGCCGCATAGTAAATACAGTCCACTAACCACCACCGCGCTATACATTACGTATTAGCCAACGCAACTCTAAGAAAACCAACATATTGACATTTAAATTTTTTTTGATGATTTATTATTAGACATACATACAATTGAAAACAAGACTAGCTGTAAATTTCTTGGTATTCATGTTGATACTCAACTTAAGCTTAATGAACACGTTACAAATCTGAACAAACGATGGGCAAGTGGTTGGTATGCTGTAAGAATAGTTTCAAATGAACTTGGTATAAATACTGCTGAGTTGGTTTATGTCTCGTTGGTTGAATCACATATTAGGAATGACATTGCATTTTGGGGTAACTGTTCTAATAAATTGTTTGATTCTGTTTTTGTCATTCAAAAGAGAGCAGTGCGCTATTTGTGTAAGTTTGGATAATGGGAGCATTGCAAGCCACTATTTTTAAAACATAAAATACTCAGTGCTGTATATTTATCATGGAAACTGCATGCCTTATGCACAAGAAACATTATGATGAGTTAGAATATCCAAGAACTTATCCAACTAGGCAACAACTTGAAATTCAGCTCCCTATACCCAAGTAGGCAAATTTTTAATCACCTGCCTGTTAACTTAAGACAGGTAGGTGGTTTTAAAAAGTTTAGACTTAGAGCTTAAAGCATTTGTATATGGAAAAGCCTACTATTATATTAATGCATTTTTTAATTTTTTTTTTCTTTCATTGTTTTGTTTTGTTCTGACGGCAACCTTTATGTTACTTTTGCTGTACGGGCCGTACCTTTTATATGAACCTATTGTACCTGTGTTACTCAAGATCATTTGTCAGCCAGCTTTGTCAATGAAATTTATTTTTATTGTTTAAATTCATTTTTTTTGCTCTGAGTTTTACATTGTATTACTGACTTGTGTAAGCACATTGTGTATTAACACCAATAAAGAATTTGAATATAAAATAAACAAAATTTGGCAAATAAATTCTAATTTCCAAACCCTTGTATTTACTAAAAAACGCAATTTTTATTTCAGGTCACTTGTCTAGACGAAATCGAAACCCTTTGGCTATCGCAAGGCCACAAATATTTGACTGGCGACCAAATATCCGTTGCCGATATTTTTGCAGCCTGCGAAATGGAACAACCGAGAATCGCTGGTTATGATGTCACTGAGGGCAGGCCACTGATCAAAACTTGGTTTGAGAGAGTCAAGCAGGACTGCCATCCGTTTTACAATGAGGCCCATGCTATTGTTGATAAGATTGCTTCCAAAACTAAAGCTAAATTGTAAAACTTTTGGTTCTAATTTTTGTACTTGTTTTATTTGGGTTACTAAACTAGAAGTTTTCTTTGATTTTTGGATAATGGGTAAAATATGATTTATACTACTACTACTATATTGTTTCTTGTTTAGATGTTATTTTAGTTATCCTTGTTATGAGTGATTTCAAACACTAATTGAAAAATTTGGTTTTTGAATTTTTTTTAATTATTAAAATATGAAATATGTATAGGCAAATATGTAACATTGAATTTATATTAAAAAAAAAAACATAAGTACCTAATTGTTGAATTGTTCTTTTAATCTGCTAAGTCCAATTGATTAAAATACCTAGCTATAATGCAAATGTACAAATTCAGAGGGACAGCTACACTTGCGTCAATGTCATCTTTTAGATCGGCCCGAATACTGGCACACTTCTTAGCAAATTCCCTCAGCTTGAAACAACAATCAGGTGTCAGAGGTTTTTCCAAAAGAATCAATATACCATAAATCCAGGTGCCTAGATTTTCAGATATTCCAGTGGTAGAATCAAATTTATCCAGATGGCTGGTGATTTCGTGTAGCATGTTTATCTTAGAAGCTTGAGTGTATCGAGTGATATCTGAGAATACTGGAGGTGAATTTTCGACTTTTTTAATGCAAAGGTTTGTTACGTTTTCATATGGAAGATCTTTGGATGAGTTTTTTATTAGGTTTCTAAGTTGAGTGAAGTCTTTGATTGCATTGTCTAGCCATTCTTTTGTGGGAATGAATTTGTCTAGTGGTTTGTGCACATCGGAACTCTAGAATAAAATGAATGTATGATAGACACCTAAAATAATCATGTTTGGCAATTTTCCACTGTATCATTCTAAAATAACATTGATACACATTTTGCCTCACAACTTTCTTAAATTTTAATCCAATTTCAACACAATTTGGCTCGAATCAAATTCTCCACAAATCTCGTTAACAATTTCAATACAGCTTCAACGTTCAACATCATAATAAGTAAAAAATCTCACTTTGTCTAAATGTATGGTCCGATTTTTATCAAATTTACTAAAATCTCCATTTGCCACAACCAAAGTCTTGCACTTTTTAGTTCTCTCGTAAATCACATGCTGAAGATATTCTTCCCCTAAAAATATTATGGATTTTTTAAAAACATTCACAGACTCGGTTTTCTGAGTGCATTGATAATTGATACCAGAACACCCAAAGTGTGAGATTGTATAAGAAGGGCCAACAAAATTTCAAATATATACCTGTTTGTGGAATTGAATTTGGATCGAAATCGTGAGGCATTTGTACGTCCAATGCCTTCCTTTGACTTACGGTTTCTTCGTCGCTACTTTCTGTATCCATAAAATCCATTATCAATTTGTTAAATGAAAAAAATTGAATAGATTGTTATCAATCAAACAAACTCAAACCAAACAAAATGTATATAAATAAATAATAAAGTGAGGTTAGGAAAAAATGCTGTCATGCTGGTCAAAAATCAAGAAGCGTTTTCATGTAGCGAGTTAGAGTGACCCAAGGAGTGAAAACCTTGGAGTGATAGGGTACATTCAGGCGGTCCCAGCGGCTTAGCTCAGCCTCTCAGCAGGAACTTTATTCTCGAAACCAAGGAACAGCGTTCTCATAAGAACGATTACTCTGTCAGTGTTATGCCGGACGACAAAGACAGAATCTTCGTTCCAATGAGAACGCTGTTCCTTAGTTTCGAGAATAAAGTTCCTGCTGAGAGACTGAGCTAAGCCGCTGGGACCGCCTCAATGTACCCATAGACGTTTATTACCCTCTACAAGGATCATACCACACTACTAAGGATTGCTTTTCTGTCTCGTTTTTGGTAATCGCGGCCATATTGGTGTATCACCATTGTCGACGTCATTAACTAAGTTGTCAGTTGTTTGCCCCACCGGTTCTAATTTAAAATTTAAAGGACCCCGCAATATTGGAATGGAAATTGGTTACCCGTGATATTTGGATGAAAAATATGTTATTGGGGATGCCGTTAGCAACATTTTTTACCCTGGGCACAGCCCTGTATACAGTGTCATTACTTAAGTGTGCAACATATGGGATTTTTTTTTAGTAATAGCACAATCAAAATACAAACAAGGCCAAAAGTTGGTGCATGTCTGATAATCATATTAAGTGCACTTAGATTGTTTGCAAGTCAAACAGCATACAGGGTGGCTCGAAAAATATCAAAATTCTGCTAATATTTACTTAAATAAAATAAAACTTTTGCTCTTTAAGGAGAGTTTTTTTAATATGGCTATTATCATTAGTAATGTTTTAACTTGTTAAAAAAAAAAATTGCGACATTTTATTTGTGTCGAATATCATTGCAACAAACATGAATTTTGAGATTCCATAAAAAATTAAAAATCTAAGTTAATTTTACAAATATGCTTGAATTTGAATAAAGTTATGTCAGAGTGATTTGATTTTAATTAATTTTTGAAAGTCTCAAGGGCGGAAATAAAAAATAAAAAACATACAAATTATAGATTTTTTTTGAAAGAAAATAAAAAAAATCTTAAGAGGCTATGTTTTGGTATTTAGGCATAACTTTTAATTCCAAACAACTTTTCTTTACAACATTTTGCTGAATTTTCTAAAATAAGGGTACTTTACAGTACCAGCTTTGATATTGTTTGAGCTACCCTGTATGCTGTTTGACTTGCACCCATTCTAAGTGCACCTAATACCTAATATTATTATCAGACATGCACCAACTTTTGGCCTTGTTTGTATTTGGGTTTTGCTATTACTAAAAAAAATCCCCATATGTTGCACACTTAAAAAATCACACTGTATGCAGGTGAAGAGTTGTTAGCTGTCAAATATTGGAATCTTGCTTATATCCAAAAGCAGAGTGACTATGGCAGATTTTGATGAACGAAGTATTGATCTCTACTACTGGCTGTTTGCAGTAGTTTGCACCGACCATTTTTAAGGAGGGCTTAACGATAAGTACTCCTTAAAGTGACATTTTTACATGTAAAAATGTCATTTTAAGGTGAACTTATCGTTAACCTTTAACGGCTACGCCAGCGTTGCCAGACGTACGACAGGTGTGGTATTTGTACGACAATTTAGGGCATCTTTGTTACAAGAAAATCAATGCGTACGGTAGTACGGTAATGTACCACAGTTTTGAAATATTAAGTTGATTGGGTAATATTTTATGGTAATATGTACCACATTTCTAAATTCTCCTTTTTTTATTATATTATGTGTTGGTCAAATTGGGTTTGGGTACCTTGCTTGGGTACCTTGCTTGGGTACCTTGCTTGACCACCTTGCACCTTGACAACCTTGCATGTGAATATGCTGGGTTATGTGATGTGTCAATTGTGTCATACTCCCCTAACTACCTTGTTACAGTTCAAAATTCACTGTATCAATTTGTTAGTTTTATATAAATTCTCATTTAATATTGTATTCCAAAGCTCTGAGATTGTTTTTAATTAATATCCTTTTATTTTAATCATTTCATGGACATAAACAATTCATTTTCCGACAGGTTGGCAGGAATGGCAGGGGGCTTCTGTTTTCCTGTATTCTTGTTTTGTTGGGGAAATATTCCTTGTGGGACTGCGTCTGAATCTGAAATGTAAAAGGATGACTTAAGATGAAATAGAATTCAATTTCAATGCATACCTTTATTAAAAATTGGGGCCCAGTGCTTTGTTTACCATCCGTTAATTATTGGGTTATGATTTATTATTTTGACACTTGAACTTGATCTTGAACAGCTGTGTGCTCCGAACACTTCGGTTTTTATTATTTAGCGGTCTTGGGATGTCGCACAGGTGCTTGGAGTAAATGGGTCAAGGTTTCACCGATAAATCAAAGTCATTGGCGTAGTTCACAGAATTGTTACTGTGTTGCTGTCTGTAGCAACATCAAGTTTTCTTCGTTTTGTTCATGAATTGAACTTTTCTGTGTAAATTATAATTTAGCTGAGGAAATTAACAACTAGTTGAGATTTTAAAGAGTTCTATTGTGTTTTGGGACTGTATGGAAATTATTTTGAGTTTTGGCAACAGACCCAGAGAGACGAGTCGTCCCTGGTTCTGACCATGACATTGCATTTTTTTGTCATTAGGGGGGAAATTGAACCTTTCAAGTTCTTTCTTCGGTCTTTTCTACCCCAACTTTCAGCCTGAATGGTCGTTTTAGCTGCTAAGCCTGCTTGAGTCCTAGGATTCGCCTTTGTACATAAGGGATTTTGGCTACAGCTTTCGCGTGGAATCCGTTTCTTTGGTTTACTGGATAAACCGCAAGTTGTGCTGGAGGCACCTGTAATTTTGGATTTCCACAAACCTTTTTGTAAGGGATTTTTGACCACGTGACTGGTAAGTTATCTTACTTTTGCTGCCCAAGAACCAAATGGTTCTTGGCTACACATTTCCATACTATTACCTAGTTTCTCGTCACTTATAGAGAGTTGGTCCCAAGGGCTTATATGTCCATTTTTGTCCTGCCTTTCCGCCGTCTTATACGTGTGCCTTGATGGTGATATTAGGGAGATATGCCCTTTCGACAATTACGGTGTTGCCGGATGAGGAAATGATGTCCTTAGGCGTTGTAGGAATGTGATTGTTGGAAGGTATGTTTTTATCTATTTTTATATATAAGGGAGGGAATAAAATATAGGGTTTTTGCTTAGTAAAATCTAGATGATGGGCTATTATGAAAGCGCCATTTGTGTGACGTTAAGTTCATTCTAAATGTGCAGACTTCGTAGACCCGGCTTGTCGAGGCCGTCTAGTGCTAGTCTTTGTGCTGTCAAAGCTAGTTATAATTTAATATAGTTCTGGAACTAAGGCTGAATACCTTTTCTAGGGCGTTGTTTTTGGTTGTTGTCTTGTTCCTGTGTCTGATGTTGATGTCTAAATCAAGTCTAGTGTTTGGTGCACAATGCACGTAGCTAATGGGTAGCAGTAGCAGCTGATGTAGCTTCTGGACGTTTCTCATCCTTTCCAGGCTGGTTGCTGATTTCATTTTACCAGCAGGATTGAGTAATGTATAACTGCTCTATTTTATCTCTTACATAATAATTAGAATGATGCTCAGGAGTTGAATGTTACTAAGGTAGAGTGTTTTATTATATATCGAGTTACATATTTTCTTGGCATTGTCATGCTATAAATATAATCGTCTTGCGCCTGGTATACCATGGTATTTTAGGGGATGATTTTGCCTATTTATAATTAAAGTTTAAATGTCTAGCGTAATTGATTAATTGCCCTTATGTAATCAATACGTTGACCTTATGTGAACACGACTTTATTATTTAGTGTAATATTTTGATGTCGATTATTATTGTTATACATTTATTTACATTTCAACTGTTACCTGTTATCTATTGCCCAAAGCTACATAGGTTTAGTAATTAAATATTGTCCTTTGTTTTGAACCTGACTTTTATTGATTCCTTCTGCTGAGAACAATGCCTAGGTCCAAGCGACCCATGTTTAGTAAGTACTACTTTCTTTATCATTATATTTTTGAGCTAGCTGGTGTTATAACTGGGAAATTTAGGTTATAACCTCGCCATCAAATTCTGGGCCTGCGAGTGACGTCACTATCAGCAGCTTATAGTGATGACGTCGCCCGCAGATTTCGATAGAATGCTTGCGATTCAAGCTGTGCTAGTGATTTAATTTTTTTGTCGATTTTAAATGTAGAAAAGATGATTTTCGGTTCGTTCTCACAGAAGAAATAAACTGTTCTTGATCTACCAGTATCCCAGAGTTTGATGGTGGGAGAGTTAGGGTAGTATGACACAATTGACACATCACATAATCCAACATCAATGTTACAAACCGTGCGTTCGTTATTTTGGTCTGAGTTCTCCGAGCTTGACTTTACCGTTCGTTTATTTAAAAAGTGTACTCGGTGCAGCCTCATTCGCGTTCGTTTATTAAAATTTCCGGTACTCTTTACAGCGTTCAACTGCTCCGTTCGCTCGCTGGTCACGTGATTACGGCTCCGCTCAGCTCGCTCTACACTTTGAGCAAAATACCGAACGCAAGGAAAAGAATTTATTTCAATTTGACTAAATACCCACAAAGTACCTTAATAAATTTAATAAATAGTTCTATTTGATTTCCCTTTACTCCTATTGCTGTAATTTTCAATGCAAGGGCTATTTTCAAGTTTCCAACACTTTGCACTCTCAAAAAAATCATATTTTTTTCTAGTAAATGTATACTAAAAATGTATTAAAGTCTGTTTTTTTTTTTAAAGATAAAAGTCAAAATGACATTATGTTGGCAATTCAATGTAAAATTGTCAATGCTTTCAATTTTTTTATGTAGAAAAGGCTTGTGTTGCCAACATAGTTACTACATTTTTGACTTGGGGAATTATCTTTAAATAAAACACAGACTTTATGTAAGGTAATGTGTACCACAAGAATT